GCTGGATGCACTTCCAAATGATATCAGAGTTCTGCGAGAGATCACTCTGGAAGCCAAGTTCTACGAACTCAAGCATTTGGAACTTTTAAGTGAGAAGAAAATTATGGAGCTGAAAAGTGAAGAATTAAGTAGCCAACTCGCCATCCTGAACAAAATGTGATTTATACATTTGAGGACAAATGTTTTTAAAAGGTGGGGGGTAGTGTTATGGACCTGTGGTGGCACAGTATTTACTTATTTATTTATCTATTTATATTATTAGTGGCCTAGTATTTATCTATCTATTTATTTATTTATAATTAATGTTACTGTGTATATATAATTATTTATTTATTGTTGATGTTGTTACAATATTTATTGCAAATATTTAAAGGATTATTCCTGATACATAAATTATTTAACGTCGTCTGTGTAGATGTCTACTTTAGTGCTGTACTGTACTACAGTGAATGTATACAAGGATTGGATAATTCTTGTATCCAGAAAGAAATACAACCTCAAGATGATTCAACAATTAGTTAGAGGTGCAGAGACAATTATTTATCAACTTTGTCTATCAGCAACTTGTGTTATATAGAATTACTAAGCGTAATCACCCAGCTGACAGCCAGCTACAATTATGTCAACACGTGCTCAGCACATCGTCACCTCGGAGAGATGATTCAGCTTTAAATACCATTTACCATAATTTATAGACATAATAAACAGAATCTACATGATTTAATTACTCACGTATGAATGTTAAGACATCGTTAAATACTTTGTATAAGCCGCATCAGTCGTAATCTCTAGGCAGAATTCAGCAATGTTTTCATTCGCAGACGGCCATGTTCCTTCATGAATAATAATGAAGGGTCACGTGATAAACACTATATAAGGCCGATCCCGACCTGAAATCATCACTTCGGTCATCAAAATGAGCCAGCAGCAGCTTTTCCAGCCAGACCATCCGGCTCCGAAGGTGAATATTTTGCACCTTCTCTATTAGTTACATAGATTTGAACATACATTCCATTCATGATCTATTGATGTTTAGTAGGAACACCATCACCACCTTCTGTATCATATTCAGCATCCCTACTCACCTTCCCTAGAAGGTGCAACTAGAGAGAGTTCAACACCTTCCATCACCTTTTATCAACTTCTACTAGAATTATAACTGCAATTATATAGCCTATATATTATTACATGTATTACACTATATGTACCTTGGTTAGGTACCATAGTTGTGTACACCTTCAGTTGATAGGTCACCTTCTACACCTTCTCTGTACCAAGTGTACCTTCTACTTATCAATAGAGATTATCACCTTCTCAGAACTTCTACACCTTCTTATGAAAGCCAGGCATCACCCCGAGAAAATATCAACATCTAGAGACCTGAACTACATTAAAGAGCGCGTTTGACTTTGTGCTTTTTAACTTAATAAATTCATAGATATTTTTAATCATCTTGGTCATTACTTGATTTCTGACAGGTACAGGAGGGCTCACAAACTTTGAAACGTCTGCAACCTTTACTCATAAAATAGTGGGTCATTATAATACTACAGGTTTCAGCAGGTGTATGCGTTACAGTATGTACTTTTTTCTTTGTGGTATTAATTTATGCTTTGTACATGGTGACACAAATTCTGCAGAAACTTGTCCCAGTGTACTTAAAGTACATTTAAGGTATACGTATACATGGATTGAACAGAAATTGTGATTCTGCAGAATTTTGACACTGTGGAAAAAAAGTTCATTTACATTATTTTAGGAATGACTCTAATTCTTGGCCAAATTATTCGAGTATAACCTGGTTTGGGTCAGTTTACGCTTTATAATCCGCGAAGCGGATTATAAAACAGCGTAAACTGACCCAAACCAGGTTATACTCGAATAATTTGGCCAAGAATTAGAGTCATTCCTTATAATTTAATTCTAAAATCATTAAACAACTGTGGGTGTAAAATTTCGTTGCTTTTTATTAGTTCAAATTTGCCGCTCAATAATACAACCCTAGTAACGGAAGTGATGGGTAGCAAGGGGAGGTAAAAACTGATACATAGTCCTAGCAGCCATGTTGTTTGTTTACATGTGGTAAGATCCAAGTTACTGTTTGAAGTTAAAGGTACATTTATTAAATCTGGAATTTTCCATGAATCCCGAGGACTGGAAATGAGAGGATTGCATGGATACAGACGATTCAGCTGGTTGTCAGGGGGGGGTGTCCCCATACCAAACCAGGTTATACAGAAATAATTTGTGTTCCTTTTTGGATATTAACCAATCAGAGGCAAGAATACAAACAAAATTAAATTATATAAATATCACTTGGATAAGATTATGTAAGCCTTTTTTAAGATATGAAATTTTGCCAAAGGTATGAATATGTTAACATATTCAAAGATAGAGAGAAAAAAAGTTCAATGTGAGAGTTAAGTAATAGAGGATATGCAATGTTTTGTAGTTGGATATGGAATTTATTTCATGAGTGGGACAGGATTTTTTTTACATTTTCACGAGTGCGAAGCAAGAGCAAAATGTAAAAAAAATCCTGTATCACGAGTGAAATAAATTCCATATCCAACTACTAAACATTGAATTTTCTGTATGATTTTCATTGATTCTCCCTTTGTCTCTTGTCTTTTGTTAACACGTACTGTCTGTCATAGGTGAGTAGTAGATAAGCGTTTGAAATAATTCATAGCTTAGCGATTGCGAGATTGAAAACATCGTAATCATGGATTTTAGCAACACATTTGGGAAAAGTCTCTTTCAGGATGGTTTAGTTACTGTCTCTATCTTTTGTCAGGTCAGAAAGTATTTTTTTACAAGACTCCTATTGAAGGGAAGGAAAATTGAGAGTTTTGCCACACTTCTGATATTTTCTCACACTGTGACAGAATATCACTTTGATATCCTTTCACACTGTGACAGAATATCACTTTTATTCATTAAATAAATCACAGTATTTCACTGTTGAAAATGTAATAAATAATGAAACTAGTGTAGTGCCTTGTTACAAAATTTATATCTTTCAGATTAAAAATGCAACACATTTTAAAGGCATTTCTATGCTTTGCTAAATGAAATGTAAGTTCAGTCTGTTACTTGGGCATATTCTTTGAAAGCCTGCTCATCCTTTTTGAAAGATGATTACAATATTAGATATATATAACACCATGACAGATGTCACTCACCAAGTCACATGTCATACTACAATGAACCAGTGAACTGCTGTCATAGCAGAACAGACATGAAAACTCTTTAGTGCCTCACAATTCAATCAAGTAATGTCCTGTACTGACAAAACACTATAATTCAACCAATAGAAATGTCTGCACTGCATTCTTCAGAGTCAATAATAATCAAATCTGGAATTAATACAGAGTTGTGCAAAACTGCCAGTCATACCAGCAGGAGTGTTTTTAAAATGTGATCAACTTGTAGATTTATGGCCATCACTGTTGGACCAAATGACTGGCATATAGTTTCTCCTACATGAGCCAATTTTTCAATGTAATTTTAATTCATAGAAAGTAAAAAATGATTGTGTAATATTTATTCCTTTAAACCAGATTGAGGCTGATAAAAGTGAAACCTATCAAATTTACTGCAAAATTGGGTAAAAAACTTAGAGTTATTCGGTTAAGAAAGATTATGGCAAAGAAATAACAGGGATAATTAAAATAGAATTGGGCAGAGGAGCAGGGATGTTGAAATTCAATGTTTATTAATTAAAAGATTACTATATAAAAGTTAAGTTTTTTTGATTTACTTTTGTGTTTTGTGATGTAAGATTTGAACAAGCTGCTTTTAATCAATTTGCCTTATTAGTCTGAATCATGACTGGCTATCTACAACAATATTTTCCACAACTGTTTAATAGGTAAAATACTTAGACTATAAGTACAAGCACTTATAGGCAGTGAATTTTGAATTGCAGGGTGTATATTTTTCAAATTTTTCTTGTAGTTTAATAGATTTCTTTTGGAGAATCATTATCATGCATAAAAAACAAAATTATATATGAGTGGACAGAGGAATGAACTTCAAGGCACAAGGTGTGGAAAACATAAATTTTCCCCTCAAAAATTTAAACATTTATACAGTATTTAATATATTTGAGTATCTTCACATATACATGTTTATATAGAGAATAATACATATATACCCTTTTCCATATCACATCCTGTATCAGCCTGAGACAACAATATCAGCCAGAGGGCCTAAGGCCCGAAGGCTGATATGTACAGGATGTGATATGGAAAAGGGTATGTTTTATTGTGTTTATTACGTACTTAATGGTAAAATACAGATACTTGAGCAAATACAAATAAATAATCAATGAGGCCATCTTTAAAAAATTGTTTGGTTGCCCTCTCCCGACCAACTGGCTAAAAATGGCCCAATTAACTCAAAACTTTTTTTGACCTCCAGGAAGCAAATTTTTTTTATGTATTCTGGACAATGAATTTAAAAAATTTAGCATTGAAATTGAAATTTTCTGAGAAAAAGAATTTCTTACCTACCTACCAACCCAATTTTTTCATCCTGAGTCGGGAGAGGGCAAACAAACATTATTTTAAAGGTGGCCTGACTACCTTATTATATCAAAGAACAGTACTAGTAATTCAAAATCAAGAGAAATGAACAAAAATAGTTGTACACTGTATTATGACAATAAGTACTGTTTTAAAGGTTTAATCTACAGGGGGTATAATATAAATCCATATCAGCCCTGCAGATCCATATCAGTTCTGCAGGATCTGTATCAACCTTGAAAGCTGATATAGCTTAATTGTGTCAGGCAATTATCGCACATGCAAAAAACCTGTATTTATTACCAAGTATGTAATATATATATTATATATATATATATATATATACATATATATATATATATATATATATATATATATATATATATATATATATATATATATATATATATATAAACTTCTTCACATTACCCTTTCCACAATTGTTTGTTTTTAAGTTTCTTTCTGTTACAGATCCAGTACGAGATGAATCATGGAAGATGTGGAGTGTGTGGGGACCCATTTCAGGGACCTCTTGACAACGAACCAGGGGGGAAATATGCTAATGGAATCATTGTTCATTCCACAACTGTTGGTGCAATCATGCCAGTTACAGTAGAAATAACAGCTCCTCACAAAGGGTATATGGAATTCAGACTCTGTCCAAATGACGATCCAAAAAAACTTATCACTCAAGGGTGTCTGGATAATTTTTTGTTACCTATCATTGAGTCCAAAAGTACCAAATATCCTGTAACAATTGCTGGAAAGTACAAGTTAAAACTACAACTTCCAGAGAGTGTCAAGTGTCGTGCTTGTGTTTTACAGTGGAAATATAACACAGGAAATAGTTGGGGAGTGGATCCAAAAACAAATAGAGGGTGTATAGGCTGTGGTAATCAGGAACAGTTTTATGGTTGTGCCGATATTGCTATAGGCCACATAAACATAGAACCAGGGTTTTCTTTGATAACTAATCAGATGAGTAAAGGAGGCCCCATTTTAAAGCCTGGTATGCCTACCCCTCCTCTGGTTCCCACTGAACTAGAAACATGGGGACCCATTTCACCAGACAGTGGAGAGGTGGATCCAGTTGTTGTTCCAGGCCACAGTGGATCCAAGTCAGATACAGCATACAAAGTGTACAAGAGTTTTTTAGACTTCCAAAGTCAATTTCCAAACAAATATGCCAGACCTTGTGTCTGTCATTCCTGTGTAGGCAAGACTTGTGTATGTGAATGTTTTGAAAGTGACATTTCTGCCTCATCTACAAACTATCTCCAAAATTATCTGAATATGTTGACCATTTTTGTTATGTCACTCATTTTACAAGGAGTTACATTTTACCTTTAGGCTAATTACTTATGAGACATAAATAACAGGGTTGCATTCAAGATCATAGCGGCTATGTGAATTATGCATGGAGCTATGATCTTGAATGATATGCTAGCCTACCCGCTACAAGGAGAAAGCTAGCAGAAATATTTTATGTAAGGTACCAAATCCAAGATGGCCTCCTAATAAAAATAGGGGGTTGTTTTCTCCATCTTAGGGAATTCAGCATACTTTGTTCCAAAAATTAGTTATTACTGAGACATTTGTAGCCAAAATCTAACAACTAATGGCTGTATTGCTGTTTTCATTTACCGGTATATATATTTATACAATCGTCTAAGACAAATGTTTTTTGGTATGGAACTGTCTGTCTTCTTGTTTATATGTCCATATTTGGACAATTGGTTTTTAGGTCACCTGAGCCGAAGGCTCAAGTGAGCCTTTCTGATCACTTTTTTTGTCCGGCGTCCATCTGCCTGTCCATCTGTCCGTCTGTAAACTTTTTAACATTTTCGACTTCTTCTCAAGAACCACTGGGCCAATTTCAACCAAACTTGCTACAAAGTATCCTTGGGTGAAAGGGATTCAAGTTTGTTCAAATGAAGGGCCATTGCCGTCTTTCAAGGGGAAATAATAAAGAATTAGTGAAAAATTAATAGCATCTTTTAAAAATCTTCTTCTCAAGAACCACAGGGCCAGGAAAGATGAAACTCATGTGGAAGCATCCTAAGGTAGTGTAGATTCAAGTTTGTTCAAATCATGACCCCAGGGGATAGGGAGGGGCCACAATGTTTTACATAGAAATATATAGGAAAAACCTTTAAAAATCTTCTTCTCAAGAACAGCAAAGCCATGCATGATGAGTCATATTTATATATAAGCATCCTCAGGTAGTGTAGATTCAAGTTTGTTCAAATCATGACCCCGTGGGGTGGGACCACAATGGAGGATCAAAGTTTTACATAGAAATATATAGGAAAAATTTTTTAATATCTTCTTCTCAAGAACAGCAAAGCCATGATGAGTCATATTTATATGGAAGCATCCTCAGGTAGTTTAGATTCAAGTTTGTTCAAATCATGACCCCCAGGGGTGGGACCACAATGGAGGATCAAAGTTTTACATAGAAATATATAGGAAAAATTTTTTAATATCTTCTTCTCAAGAACAGCAAAGCCATGATGAGTCATATTTATATGGAAGCATCCTCAGGTAGTTTAGATTCAAGTTTGTTCAAATCATGACCCCTGGGGGTAAGGCGGGGTCACAAGGGAGGATCAAAGTTTTACATAGAAATATATAAGAAAAATCTTTAAAAATCTTCTTCTCAAGAACAGCAAAGCCATGATGAGTCATATTTATATGGGAGCATCCTCAGGTAGTGTAGATTCAAGTTTGTTCAAATCATGACCCCTGGGGATAGGGCGGGGCCACAAGGGAGGATCAAAGTCTTAAATAGAAAAAAGATAGGAAAATATCTTCGGAAGAAGAACTGCAAAGCCATGATTAGTCATTCTGATATGGAAGCATTCTGAGGTAGTGTAGATTCAAGTTGTTCAAATCATGACCCCTGGGGGTAGGGCAGGGCCACAATGGGGGATCAAAAATTTTACATAGGAACATATAGGAAAATTTCTTCTTCTCAAGAACTGAAAATCATGTTTAGTCATTTTGATATAGAAGCATCCTCAGGTAGTGAAAATTCAAGTTTGTTCGAATGATGACGCCTGGGGGTAGGTAGGGGCACAATGGGGGATCGAAAGTTTTACATAAGAACATATAGAAAAATATTTCTTCTCAAGAACAGAAAAGCTATGTTTAGTCATATTGATATGGAAGCATCCTCAGGTAGTGTAGATGCAAGTTTGTTCAAATGATGACCCATGGGAAAGGGAGGAGGGATCAAATTTTTACAAAGGAATATATGGGAAAATTTTTTAAAATTCTCAAGTACAACAAAGCCATTGCCTAGCCAATATGCTCTGGTGAGCGATGTGGCCCATGGGCCTCTTGTTTAGCTTACCTGAACCAAAGGTTCAAATGAGCTTTTCTGTTCACCTGTCATCCTCCATCTATCAATCCGTCTGATAACTTTTCAACTTTCGACTTCTTCTGTTTAATTTTTACAAAGTAATGGCCTTGAACTCATCATTTTAAAGGTTAGGCCAACAATAAAAAAATAGAAAATGCCAATGACCTTTGAAAATTACTGCTACCCTGTCATTTTTTTTCAGTAACTTTTCCAAAGAAATACAGATTGTTGTCTGCATTATTTTTAAACTAAGGTTTTTTGATTTATCAAAAATGCTTTTGAGATTGAAAGTTTTATGTGTGTACATTGCAAACTTCAGTAAATTTCAAAATCAATTATCAGTGTATCACAAAATTTAAAAAAAAAAAAAAAAAAAAAAACAATTCCACCCACCTTGAAAAACGTAGATCGGAGAACATCAAATAAAAACTTTTTTAGTGATGGCCTTAGTTAAAAATGCATACTCATAGGGAGAAAAATCACTGTTCTCTGCTTTAGAAAACAGTCAGTTTAAGTTATTGTATTAGAGATATTGCTCATCACTTACTGGTACATATGGTACATACATGTATTTATATGATTTTCCTTTAAATTAAATGTATGAAAAAGCATTCAAACTCAAACATTTTTCTTTCAATTCGTTTTCTACAGCAGTTGTGAATTGTAAAGTTATGTATGGCCATATAAATACTTTGAAATATAATTCTATAAAATTGAAATATTTGATATGATGATTTATAAATTTAAGTAACAAATTAAGTATTAATTTTGTGGTTCTATGTTTACTGCTTTACTGCCTTTGGCTTACATGCATATTGAGCATTGCAAATGGAAATAATGCTTACAAATGAATTACATGTTTTAAAAAAAAACCCACTAAATTTAATGTTTTAAAAAACATTCATTTCAAATGATACTGTGTTCTTTCTGCATGGATGAGTTTAATATGTTTACTGGTGCTTGCTTATCAATATGTTTGTTCAATTATCATTAAAATCATTGATTTTCCTTTATTTTAATTGTTGTAAGGTTTATGTATGTGTTTCAAGAAATATTCAGAGATAAAGGAATGCATCATGAATTCTTTGAGAATAGTCTGTATATTGGGAAATTTTCACCCCCATTTTATTCCCCCCCCCCTTTTTGCACACGATTGTCATCAACTGGCAAATTTTAACAGGGCAAATTCATAGAAAACAGCTAGGTCTTTAACACAACTGTGTCTGAGCGAATTTAAAAGGGGGGTAAATTATTTGCAATTAAATGTGATATGACAAAATAACCTGGGGTGAAAATAACCCACTTTACAGAAATACACATGTATATATTTTGATGTAACAAGACACACATTTATTGAAAATGAAAATATTTCATCAATGAGTACATAATTAGATTTAGGTGCTTATCAAGCTTGTGATATGATTGACAGTCCTTTCTGTGACAGATTGTTCATTGTGTTTACTTTTATTAGGTCACCTGAGTCACTCAGGTGACCTATTGCTATCCGTTTTTGTCCGTCGTCGTGCGTCGTCCGTCGTGCGTTTACATTTGAACATTTTCAGCTTCTTCTCTGAAACCGCTCAACCAATTTCAACCAATTTTGGCATATAGCATCTATGGGTGAAGGGGAACAAAAATTATGAATTTCATGGTCCCTGCCCCCCCCCCCTGGGGCCTGAGGGGTGGGGCTAAAACCACCAAAATTAATGCAATCTTTAAAAATCTTCTTCTTTACTCCTGGACATCAAGCAGTCAAACTGTTGACATGATTGTAATAAGCATTAAGCCCTCTACCAAAATTGTGAAATTCATGGCCCCAGGGTCAGGGGTTCTGGTGCTAGGGCGGGGCTATATAGATCATATAGTGAAAGTGCATTATTTCTTTGAAAATCTTCTTCTCTGCTCCTGGGTATTATTGAGACAAATTGAATACATAGTTATGATAAGCAAGGGTGACTCTACCAAAATTGTGAAATTCATGGCCCCAGGGTCAGGGGTTCTGGTGCTAGGGTGGGGCTATATAGATCATATAGTGAAAGTGCATTATTTCTTTGAAAATCTTCTTCTCTGCTCCTGGGTATTATTGAGACAAATTGAATACATAGTTATGATAAGCAAGGGTGACTCTACCAAAATTATGAAATTCAAGGCCCCAGGGTCAGGGGTTCTGGTGCTAAGGGCGGGGCTATATAGATCATATAGTGAAAGTTTATTATTTCTTTGAAAATCTTCTTCTCTGCCCCTGGATATTATTGAAACAAAAGGCCCATGGGCCACATCGCTCACCTGAGTAACTTTGGCCATGCTGTTCATTACCAGACTTCCCCCCTTGTAATACCTATTGTGGCCCCGCCCTACCCCCGGGGGCCATGATTTGAACAATTTAGAATCTACACTACCCCAGGATGCTTCCACATAAGTTTCAGTTTTTCTGGTCCAGTGGTTCTTGAGAAGATTTTTAAAGATTTTTCCTATATATTTCAATGTTTCCCTATTGTGGCCCCGCCTTACCCCCGGGGGTCATGATTTGAACAATTTAGAATCTACACTACCCAAGAATGCTTCCACATAAGTTTCAGTTTTTCTGGCTCAGCGGTTCTTGAGAAGAAGATTTTTAAAGATTCTTCCTATATATTTTAATGTAAAATTTGTATTCCCTATTGTGGCCCCGCCCTACCCCCGGGGGTCATGATTTCAACAATTTAGAATCTACACTACCCCCAGGATGCTTCCACATAAGTTTCAGCTTTTCTGGCTCAGCGGTTCTTGAGAAGAAGATTTTTAAAGATTTTCCCTATATATTTCAATGTAAAACTTGGATTCCCTATTGTGGCCCCGCCCTACCCCCGGGGGTCATGATTTTAACAATTTAGAATCTACACTATCCCAGGATGCTTCCACATAAGTTTCAGCTTTTCTGGCTCAGTGGTTCTTGAGAAGAAGATTTTTAAAGATTTTCCCTATATATTTCAATGTAAAACTTGGATTCCCTATTGTGGCCCTGCCCTACCCCCGGGGGTCATGATTTTAACAATTTAGAATCTACACTATCCCAGGATGCTTCCACGTAAGTTTCAGCTTTTCTGGCCCAGTGGTTCTTGAGAAGAAGATTTTTTAATGACCCCACCCTATTTTTGTCTTTTCTTGATTATCTCCCCTTGTAAGGGGACTTGGCCCTTTATTTTAACAATTTAAACTCCCCTTCACCCAAGGGTACTTTGTACCAAGTTTGGTTAAAATTGGCCCAGTGGTTCTTGAGAAGAAGTTGAAAATGTGAAAAGTTTACAGACGGAAGGACGGACAGACGGACGGACAGACGGACGGACGACGGACAACGGGTGATCAGAAAAGCTCACTCGAGCTTTCAGCTCAGGTGAGCTAACAAATTGAATACATAGTTATGATAAGCAAGGGTGACTCTACCAAAATTGTGAAATTCATGGCCCCAGGGTCAGGGATTCTGTTGCTAGGGCAAGGCTATATAGATCATATAGTGAAAGTGCATTATTTCTTTGAAAATCTTCTTCTCTACTCCTGGGTATTATTGAAACAAATTAAATACATAGTTATGATAAGCAAGAGTGACTCTACCAAAATTGTGAAATTCATGGCCCCAGGGTCAGGGGTTCTGTTGCTAGGACGGGGCTCTATTTATTATATAGTGAAAATACATTAATTCTTCTTTTTCTGCTCCTGGGTATTATTTAAACAAACTAAGTATATAGTTATGATAAGCAAGGATGCCTCTTCCAAAATTGTGAAATTCAAGGCCCCAGGGACAGGGATTCTGGTGCTAGAGCGGGGCTATATAGATCCTATAGTAAAGGTGAATTATTTCTTTGAAAATCTTCTTCTCTGCCCCTGGGTATTTTTTAAACGAACTATGTACACTGTTATGATACGCAAGGATACCTCTTCCAAAATGGTGAATTTCATGGCCCTAGGGTCAAGGGTTCTGGTGAAAAGGGGGGGGGGATCTATTGATTATATAGTGAAAAAGCAAAATTTCTTTTAAAATATTCTTTTCTGCTTCTGGTGAAAAAGCAAAGAAGCTAAGTGTATAGTTATGATGAGCAAGAGTGCTTTTTCCAGAGTAGTGAATTGCATGACCCCTGGGTCAGATGTGCTGGTTTAAGGGTGGGGCTCTTGATAATATAGTGAAAATGCATTAATTCTTTTAAATAATCCTGTCTGCTCCTTAGTGTTAAGCAGATAAACAAAGTGATAACTTATGATGAGCAAACTTCTGGTC